AGCAAAGATTTTGAGGTTATTTTATTATGTTTGAAAAATTTCAGACAGATCTGATGCTTTTTATATTTTCCAGTAGGGTCATTTGTTCTATTTTAGCATTTATATTGTGGTTCTGCTTATGGAGAGTATTTAGGATTGTCTCCAAATGGTGAGAAACCTTGCCCATTTTGATGATGTGATACTGATAAGCTTCCTACTGGAAAGTCCCCAGCTGGCTTAAACTTCAGCTCCTGCATTTTCTAGGGATGTGACTTTTTTGCAAATGTACTGGAATTATCTTTTACAAAGGAGGGAAAAATATTGCTAAACTACATAAAAACATGATGAAATGAGAGATGTGGACAAGTTTATGTATAAACTCTTACATTTCATTTTTATTACTTTCACTACACAATCCCATTTAACATTTTCTGAAATAGTCATAAATTTTTGAATGGTAAAACAAATGGCATTTGAATATGCCAAGTGAGAGATATTATTTAGATAGCAAATATTCACAAAAATATGTAGCATTATATTACCAGGATGCACTCAGTTTAATGAGAAAGGAACACTTATTCCTTTACAAATACCAATATATGTATGTATCTATAAACACAGATAATCTGTGTATGTCACAAGAAATATATTTGCAAACAAAAAATTATGTAAATAATACTGTGCCACATACAATTCCTCTTTTAAATGTGTGAGAAGCTGATTTCTTACAGCAGCAGAAAAGCTAAATTCTAAATGATGAGTCATACATCTTTAAATCTTTTGGTTTTAATTATATGTATATATAATATTTCATATAACTTCACTTCTTAACCATTTAAATTATTTTTAATATTACATGAAAAGGAGTTTATGGCCCTTGTTTCTTTTAGCATTCACTGGTGTTTACACTTTCACTACAAACTGCCTACAGTACCACACAGCCTTAGGCATCTTACTTGCACACCAGTGTGTTCACACATTTTTCTTACCCCTAAAATGGGATGACTTCTAAACCTCTCCCAGCTAAGATAAAACATGATAGATGACTAGACTAGGATTTCCTCATTATAGGATATATATTATCTCTTTGAAACACATTAGAACACTGTAAGACAAGTATTTCCTCCATTATTTTGGACACGATGTTCAAGGAAATTAAAAAATTTGCTTAACACCTAAAAGGTGGTGAAGAACTAAGGGTCTGAATTATAGTCTATATTATTTTCCTACATGACTGGTTTTCAAATATTTTTATCAAAGATATGTTTTTAAAATGATACACTATGAGGAATCTCAATTTTAAAATAGAGAAAGTGCTATTTCATGGTACATATTTACTTTTATAAATTCAAAATGAAAATATTTACTTATGAGGTTAATAAATCATGAGGCAATTTTGATATCCATAAAAATTTGAAATCAAATGTTATGGACAACAGTTTCAGCCTTTCAGTGACCTCTACTCCAATTTATTTCTATATGGTGTTGGATTTGCAATGACAAGAAATTCCTTATTTATAAAGATACATCATTGTATATGGAAACAGTTCTTTTTAAACAGCACACCTCACGATCTCAAGATGCCTTTCAATTAAACTGATCCAGAGACAAGAAATATGATTAGAAATTTTTGTTTCTATGATTATTTAGAATATCTAACAACTACTCACATTCCTCATATTAAATATCACAGAACAGAACGCTATCAATACTTCTACATTTATTTTATGATATTATGATGACATTACATGTATGTTTTCAATATCTTTTCCTTAGGTCCAAGGACATAGCTGAGATAGCAGACCAGAGCCTATCTCATACTAGTTGAGTCCTAACTGTATATAACTGCATGATTTAATTCTGTTACAGAATTTCAACTTAAAAACATGATTTGGCACAACCTACCTAACATGAGCCTCGATAAATGTTAATTGCTGTCAATAGTGTCAATATACTCTTGTTTTTTTGTGGAAAATAATTGTATTATATATGTTTTTATTTGCTAGCTGCTTGGAATAGATAAAAGTATGTCAAATTAATGTGTATTTTGAGCTTATTAAGTTAGATTTGATTTTATCCTCATAGTCCAAATATTTTTATGATATGCTTTTATACTTTTTGTTTAATCTTTTCTTGAACAAATTCATATGAGACACTATGTGTCCTTATCCTTATTTTGATTTTGTTTTGCTCTTGACTTCACTATTCTCTACTCTCTTTTTACCAACATAACTTCTGGCATTTTACTTTATGATTTTCACCTTTCTGTTCAGATCCTCAGACTGAGAGCTTTGTTTGTTTTCCCTAGTTCCTTTTGATATATTTATATCAACTTTTGATATATTTCAACCTTTTTAAATGAAAAGTCACTGAAGACTTCCCCTCTACAGAAGCACAAATTTCCTATTATTCAATGAGTAAAAGGCTTATGACATTAATTTCTCAAACACATCAGAATTAAAGTTAATTGTAGTATGTTCCTTGAAGAAAGGGTCAAAGGGATGGGAAGGTCAGGTTGAAATTATGTTCCCTCAAACTGATAAGGGTTTTCATTAAATGGGTCCCTAGTTTACACTTTCTGTCTTTTATGTTTCTCATTGTTCTGCCCTTGATTCTTATGCTTTTCTTAATATGAATGTATAATCAAGAGTATAGCAGTCACATAGAGAAAAACTAGGTTTGTTGTACCAAGGACTTTAAGATGATATTGATTTGTATGAAGGTAATTTTAAATTAGGTTTGCCTGACTATGCATAGAAAAGAGATTTGGGCTGATGACAAGGACAAGAGAAAGCAAGTAGCAACACAGTTAATTACAGTAAAATACATATCTCTTATTAGTTGTACAGCATTTCAAAGTACTCTTTAACTTCTATTATTAGCAAGTACAGCCAAAATTTTTGAATTTTGTAATTCAAAATTCAAGGACATGAACACTTGAATTGTAGCTCACAATAATAAAAAGGGACTTAAGGATGTAAAAATGTTTATTAAAACTGTTTTTTTTAATATTTATTTATTTATTTGAGAGAGAGAGAGTGCATGTGTACCTGTGAGTGGGGGAGAGGGGCAAAGGGAGAGGAAGAGAATCTCAAACAGACTCCCCGCTGAGTGCAAAGCCCCACAAGGGGCTCCATCTCAGGATGCTGAAATCATGACCTGAACCAAAACCAAAAGTAGAACACTCAACCAACTGAGCTGCCCAGGTACCCCATAGGTGTTTTGTTTTGTTTTGTTTTTAATTTAACTAACTTTAATTGCTGAACCTGTGGCGGGGGCGGGGGATGTCTTAAAGTAGAAGCTGGTCGTCATTGAAAATAATAGTATTATATACATACATATATATATTTATATACATATATGTCTATATATTTATATATCTATGTACAGATACATAGATAGATATTTCACATCAGAGTACATGACCAGCAAAGTTGGGTTTTTTTTGACCAGTAAATTTTTATTTGTTAAACATATATAATAAAACTAAGTTCTTTTACAACTATGATGTCAATGCAGATTCACTATATTGGTAAATATAAGTGGAAATCTTTTTTTTTAAGATTTTATTTATTTATTTGACTGAGAAAGAGAGAGAGAGAGCCAGAGAGCACAAGCAGGGGGACCTGGAGAGGGAGCTGGAGAAGCAGGCTCCCTGCTGAGCAGGGAGACCAGTGCGATGCTGGGCTTGATCCCAGGACTCTGGGATCATGACCTGAACCGAAGGCAGATGCTTAACTGACTGAGCTACCCAGGCGCTCCTGAATTGAAATCTTAATAGGCCTTCACATTATAAAATGAAATTCTCATAGATGGGATGTTTTATGCTATAGAATATTTTCTTTTTTTTAAATTCTGGCAGACCATAAATGGTTTAATGTCAAGAACATTACTAAAAACATTTTTAAAGAAGCCAGTATTATTAGTATGGTTCATATACCAATATGTAATGGGAACACAACTTAAAGTCTGTTAAAAAGACAAACTTCACTGAATTTTAAATTTTAGATATGTGATGACATGAAACCAGTCCTATGAAATCAGTCCTAAAAAAACACACACAATTATCTTATATCTCTAGAATTGCTCCTAGTATATATATACTTCTGGACTATTGAATTAGTATGTACAATTTTTAAATAAAACATCATTATTTCCCTTATATGTATTTTATCTTTATTTCTTCATCTAAAATTACCATTTCTATAATTTTGATCTACTACAAATAAATATCAAAGATTTAAAAAACTCACAAAATTTCACAAGGTTTAAAACATGTACGATGCTAGCAAAGGAAAGTTATATTATCTAATAATAGATACACATTATCTAGCATAAACTCTCATTAAAGATACAGCTGTAACTGTAATTTTAATCTTTTAAATAGATAACTGGAAACACTGTATGTTGCTACACTATTCATTAACAGCAAGTGTAAAATATTTTATCTGTTTGACAGTGTTTATATTACTACAGAAAAAATGCTAAACATAATGAAATAATAATATTAAAATTATCAGTTATAATTATTGTTGCACATGGATGCAACAATAAGATGAATGTACATCTTGAATTAATTGTAAAATTAAGAGATAAACAATAATTTATTAATTATAAGACTAAAATATTCCATTTAAAATGTATTTTAAGTTTTGCCAAACTTTTTTCTACTCTTAGCCATTTTGCCTTCAAAAAACCCAATTTACTTACCTTGGATGGTGATTCTAAAGGATATAGACTCCAAATTTTTCATGACACTGCTAGGAATTTGTGTTATCTATATCATTACACACTTATCTCCTCTATTATCTCTTCCTTTATATATATGATAAATATAATGTCTTCATAATGTGACATAATAAGAAATATAATGTAAAATAAAATATATTCGAATATAATATTAGAACAAAAATTTACATAGGGGGAAACACAGTAAAATTAGAGTGGAAACAGAAAAGAGTTTCAGAACAAATGTTAAAGTTGTTAGCTTGGTCACAAACATTAAACAAAAAAGATCCTACCTGATGAATCAAAGTTCACCTCATTGCCAGGACTTGGACCTATATCAATGGACACAATTGGTGAGAGCTTCCGAAAGTCCCATAGTTTTGTTACTCCACAAGCATCACAGGATGCTATCATGTGACCCTTTAAAGTATTTAAAAAAGAAATTATATACATACACACACATATATATTACATATATATAAATATATATATAGTGACTTAGTCAACAAGGAAGATTTGTGTTACAGTTTTATTAAATCCACGAGAATGCACTCTTCTAAACTAAAGTGTTCATTGTATTTTTGTCTTGGACATAAAATTGTTATAAAATGATAATTTACATATACATAAAATCCTATACTAAATTTTGGAAGATGATTTTTCAGGAAATCATTTTGATTATTTTAATTATATGAGAATATATAATAAAATAAAAAGGTACATACCCACGTAATTCCTCTCTCTCTCTCTCTAATATATACACACATATATATAATGTTTATGATATATGTGATCTATACATAAAACTACATACATGAGAACATTGCACTAAAAGTGCACCTCACTCTATATGCTTGCAGTTTGTTAGCACTGATGATTTATATACTTCAGATACAGTAAAAATAAAACAGAGGTAGGAAAACAAATATACACAAGGAAAGGAGAGTTTTTATCATGGTGGGAGAAGAACGGGGGCCAAGTGAAATCTATGGCAAGGAAGCAGTACATATTGTGATCTGTGAGACAAAATTATTAGAAATATTTGGGGCTATTTTGGTAATGTGCAATGGAATAAGGAAGAAAATAAGTGGCTAAAGGGGATGGAATACAAAAGGAATCGTGGATGGATTCAAGTGTAATGGGAATAGGGGCAGATATTTTCTCATTATAGAAGTAGCAGCTCAGGTCCATCAGTTTGAAGGTCAAGGTCTGTCTCTACCCTTTCTGCTAGTTTCTCAGGAAATGTTTATTGAGCATCCACTTCACGTCAGAAACTGGGATATAGTGATGATTAAAGGGGTCTCTGCTGTCTAGCAGCTCATAATCTTTACTCATTCTTATCATAGTATCATTTAATTTTGTTGTCCAGCTGAAAATGAATATTGGCCATATTAGGCTCATACATACGTTTATGATAAGTGATTACACTTTATATTGTTTCCAATTAGATATAGAGTTTCCTTTTCAGTTCCAGCTTAATTTTTTTTTAAGATTTTACTTATTCATTTGAGACACAGAGATACAGAGAGAGAAAGCATGAGCAGGGAGAGAGGTAGAGGGAGAAGCAGGCTCCTCGCTGAGCCAGGAGCCCGATGTGGGGCTCGATCCCAGGACCCTGGGATCATGACCTGAGCTGAAGGCGGACGCTCAACCATCTGAGCCACCCAGGCACCCCGAGCTTAATTATTTTTAATTTCAAGTCAAAAAGAATCCTCTCACTTTTTTCCTAAATATTCTAAAATGTTAAAAATAATAACTTGATTATTGTACAATTATGCTTATCCTTTTGAACTAGATAACATGATTTTTTTTCTCATTTACTTCTTGATTCTATCCTTTCTGGGGAAAAAAATGTGCATTTTGTATTACAGTCCAAGGGGACTCTTTGTTTTTCCCTAAACAAGTCAGTAATGCAACAAATGCCATCAGTCTTAAAATTAAAGAGTTGTCACTGGCAAAGCAATACAACCTTGTCTCCAGTCTAATAAATGGGATGTTTAATCTTTTTTATGACTTAAAAGGAACATGCAGAACTTGGAATGTTTTCAAATATGTAAACATGTATTGTAAGAATTGTGAAGAATCAGTGAATTTAATTTTCAGAAAAGACGAGTTCTCAGTATTAGCAGGAAATATTAATGCTAGAAATTAGAAAAAACCCTTTCCAGATATAAGGGTTTTCAAATATCTTTCAGAGATGACAGAATGAAATCTTTTTTTTTTCAACTTTGAGAACAGAATAGATATATTATAATGGTAACTTAATTTGGAGGCCCTTCTCATTCACAATAAGGGAGGTTATAAAAAGCTTAAAGTGTGGTTTATATCACTAAATATTAAAATGTGAGGAAATACACTAAAAATTAGTTCCATCATTTTGGAGGGTGAAAATGAGTGTTTAGTTTTAATATTTTTTACATTTAACTTCCACTGCTGCCAACTGATTTATACATATCAGTTTGATAATATTAAAATAATAAGGGCCAATATTTATTAAATGCTTTTAATGAACCAAGTACTATATTAAATGATTTATTAGTAAATAGTACATACTTTTTAAACAATTTTGAGTAACATCATTTAGGCAAATTTCTACATTTCCCAAGGCACTTAAAAGTCAGGACAAAGTATACATTACAGTAAAACAAATTTAACAACTTATTAAGTGGTAGCAGTAAGTTTGTGTTTAGATTTGATAACTGAGAGATTCTTGGTAGTGAAAGGACAGCTTAACTATGCTTCTGTTAGCCAGTGAGGCAGATGCAGTGCCTATCGCAACGCAGGAGCTTGGTAGAACTTGAAAGATATTTGTTAAATCAACAGATGATGAATGCCTCATTGGGGCTTACCTAGAAGTTTTATTTTAGTCCAAGTTCTTCCATAGCATTCTCAAGATAAATATTAGTTCTAACCCATATGGTTTTGAATCACTTAGATAAAAGAGAAAAAAAAAAGCAGAGAATCCCAGAGCCAAAAACTTGGAATTATCCTGAAAACCTTATATCCCTCCTCCTCCCATCTCAGGAGAACTGGAGTCCCACCTGCCTATCTCTTTCCATGATATAGAAGAACATACTAAAACACTGCCTAGCCAAACTGCATAGTGTGAGCATTGAGGGATCTGAAGTTGGAGAAATGGGGAAAAGGGATTACCTGACAACCTGGGGGAAAAAGCAGACATCTACAACTTATGTCAGGTAGGAAAGTAAAGGTCTGCTATAGTTAGGTCCTTAACCTAAACAAAGAAAGATCATTTCTGTAGAAAATATTTTTTTTTTAAAGATTTTATTTATTTATTTGACAGAGAGATAGAGAGCACAAGTAGGCAGAGTGGCAGGCAGAGGGAGAGGGAGAAGCAGGCTCTCTGCTGAGCAGGGAGCTGGACATGGGGCTCGATCCCAGGACCCTGGGATCATGACCTGAGCCGAAGGCAGCCGCTTAACCGACTGAGCCACCCAGGCGCCCCTGTAGAAAATATTTTTTACAGAGAGGTGGAATTGTATGACAATCTTAAAGAAAAGTAAAGACTCAGGAGTTTCGGGAACCTTCCTAAAATAGAATTCTGATTGTCATTCCTACCAGTACTGATACTGAGGAAGAGAAGGTAGGAAAGGTGGTTGCATAGAAAGCTCTCAAAAACACTCAGATTCAGATAGATGGCTGTTTTTGTGACACTGAATCCGTAGGACCTTGCAGAGTTTCTGCAACATGTTTGACATTTGATCTTGAATAAACTAATGAATGAATGAATATAAGGGGAACAGAGAGCAATTAATGTTGACTGTATGTAATTTAAAAGGATTCCCCCCAATATAGAAACGTTAAATGAGCTGAAACTCAGAAGAAAAGGTTTTTTGTGATCACAGATTCAAATAGTTATATAAAGCAGGTAGAATTTAGCAAAGTGGACAAAGCGTGTAGTTGAGGTGAAAGTGAATAGTCATGACTCCTTACTGCCCCGCTAAAGCCTTTCTACCTCCACTTTAAAGATCTTATAGTGGGAAAAGCCATATAGACATAAAGTTAATTATAAGTTAGAGTATAGCGCCATAAAGTCAAACTAGCTTCATCTAGACTGCGGGAAATATATTGGAGAACATTTAGCATATGTCTTAAGGATCACGAGTGTTCATACTTTTGAAACTTTTCATACTTCTGAGATGTATTATAAAATTAGAAAAAGATAGGATAAAAATTAATGTAGCACTATTTATAAGTAAATAAAATGGAAACAAGTGAAACCTGTAATAACCTAATATGGAAGAAATAAGCCTTGTGCCTCGCGGACCCAGAAAACTGCTAGAGGCACCGTTTATGCAAACTTGACACCAACAGCACCAAGAAGACAAGCAGACTGAACTGCTATCTCTCTGCACAGAGGTTTCTAGCATATTTATATGTTGTAAAACAAAGAAAGAAAAGGAGAAAACTGGGATGCTAATGAGATCATTTCTAATTTAAATGTATAATTAGAAACTATTTTCATAAACCAATAGTATTCCTTCGTATAAAGATATTTTATGGCTTCATATAACTTCGAAAAACAAATTTTAGAAGCTTGGGCATTAACATCAGTTTGGGGTTAAGAGGCTACTTTTCAAGTAGGGTAAGAAATGTCATATAGTAAAAAAGTATCCTATATGAAAGTCTGATCTTCATATTGCATGTCAGGAAGAAATATAGAGGGTCTCAATTTATTATGGAAAACACAGGTCCAATTTGCGCTCTAGATCTTCACCCTGATGAATCAGATAAGTAGTTTCTTGGTTCAATTCACTAGGTTATATATATATACTTTTATACCTTTATTTTTCTCATTTTCTTTTGGAAAGTCAACTTACAGAACAATAACAACAGCATGTAAATAATCAAAATATGTTTAGGTCCATGACATTACTTCTTTTCTGCAAAGGTTCTTCAAGGCTGAATAACAGGATATGTATAATGTTCTTGTCTCAAAGAGTTATACAGTATGATAAAAGTCAAATGAATGATTATATATCAATTATGCACATGAAAATGTTATAAATTCTGTAAGTAAATGCACCTTGGCTTAGGAGTACATTCCAATGATCTTGAGTAGCACTTGGTAAATGTTCAATAAATGATTGACGTATGAAAGAATAAATATCCTGGATGAATTATTATGAAGGTATAAAAATAATAATTAAAGAAACAGTGTAAAACACGGAAAAGTTTATGCTAAACTGTGATTACACTGATTGAAAATATATAATACATATGTATAATGATTAAGTGAAGATATATGTTTATAAAAACTGCCCTGTATTTTTTTAAGACTTTATTTTTTGGGGGGCCAATTTTAGGTTTATAGTGAAATTGAGGGGTGGACGCAGAGGGTTTTCCATTTACTCCCTCCCCACTCACACACGCAGCCTCCCCCATTTACATCTCCTACC